ACTTTTAAATGCAACCCATTTCTTGGGGTGGAGTTTGTTCAAGGCAACTGAACTAAAATGTTTCAAAAAAAAAAAAAGAATGGTGGTTTCCTTCTACAACACAATTTCAAGAATTAAGGATAAGTGCTACTCCATATCTCTCCTTGCGAATGATGACTACATAACTGCATCCAGTTCCTAGTCTCAAAAAGGGCCATTAAGTAGTATATGCCATAGATTCTGAATCACACTACTTCTGTAGAAATGACTAGTTTTCTCGCTTATGAAAGGAGAGTTTGGGTCAATCTCCTAAAAATGATCTCCCTCAATATTTGCCCGCCCATACACACACACACACACACACACACTATACTTGCGATGGAACCCAGGGCATCACACATATTAGTCAAACACTCTACTGAGCTATATTTCCAGCTCTCATTCCCCCACCCCCCCCCCCCCCTTTTTTTTTTTTTTTTTTTGTATTAGGGATTGAACCCGCAGGCACTTTACCAATTAGCTACATCCCCAGCCCTTTTTATTATTTTATTTTGAGACAAGTCTCTCTCTGTAAATTGTTAAGGCTGGCCTATAACTTGTGATCCTCCTGCCTCAGCCTCCCTGATTGCTGAGATTACAGGAGTACACCACTGTGCTTGGCCCCACCCCTTTTTATTTGAGACTGGGTATCACTAAATTGACAAGGCTGGCCTCCATTTGCAATCCTCCTGCCTCAGCCTCCCAATTAGCTAGGCTTACAGGGGTACAACTCGCTCAATCTTTAAGTGATGCTTCTCATCTGAAAATCCTAGAAGGTGGTGTCCATGGTATTCTTCCTAGTTACCTCACCTATTCATGTGTTCTTGCCTCTTAAATGTCTTAACTTCTGTTTCCATGATCACAGAGTGCCATGAGGGAAATATCAGATATTCCTGGATTCTAACACCATTTAGAGGGAGAGGAGATCTGAAGAACACAACCCAGAAAATGTTCTATGCCAATAAAGATATGTACACAAAAGAGAATTTGTTCTCAAGAACTGATTTCTTTCCAAGTACTTTTTCAATTTCACTTAATTACAGAGGGAAAAATGCTTGTATTTAGCGCTAAATTCTGTTAACTCTGTAGTTTCTGACACTCTCCAAAAAACCATAAGTCCGTACTTTCCTTTCTACAAGGGGAAGAAAGTAGAAGAATCCATAACTGCAAAGCAGGAGAAAGGTGATCCAAAACAGACATACCAAGTCTCTGAAAGAGGGAACCCTAAATGAACCAGCACAGCAGGTGTTATAATAAACTTTATCCCAACGACCTTTATCCTAACTGAATTTTCTTCCATTTCTAGAACCATTCATACTTCCTCCACACCTACAGTCTTCCCTATTCTGCTTTCCTGATGTGTTCTCCTCTTGGTTTTTTTTCTTTTCACTTGAACTTTCTTCTTCTGATCTTTCTCTATTACTTTTCTCCTATCTGAGATCTGAGCACCTACATACCTCACATATTTAAAGATCACCTCTTTCAACTGGGCAAAAGTGGTATTCATCTCTCCCATACAACTGCTCCAGAGCCAAACCAAATGTAAAGTTCAATCAGAACAAGCAAAAGAAGGAAAGCAAATTTATGTACATTTAAGCATAAATAATAACTTAAGATGTCTCTTTTAAGTCCTTGTTCCACAGTCAGCCCTTAGTAAAAAGCCTTAAATCTTAGAACAACAGCTTAATTTCTGTATTGAAACTACCTTTCAAACAATAAAGAAGCAGAAATATCTATATATTCTACTTCCCAACCATTCCCAGTATATACTTTTATGAAATAACTATTAAATTTTCCCACTTAACCCATACCCACAGTCTCCACATGCTCATACTCACTCTACACTCTCTCCTCTCTCTTTCTCAAGAAAGAGCTCTATTAAAGGTACAGGGGGGGGATTAAATTAAAGGTGAGTGCCCCGATACACAATGGGGCCACTGTACTAAAAGGTGGAATTTTTAGTGGGAGGAGTAGAGACATTATAAATAGAACTGAAGAAGGAAACCTTTTCTCCCTTGGATTTCTTTGATCTTTATTTCTGCCTTTGGAGCCGCTATAAATTCCAGGCCTTGGGGCTCCTTCAACTTGAGAGAAAACTAGACCAGGCCAACCCAAAAAGGCAACTTTAGGCCTTGTGCTAAAGAGGAAAGAGGAGCCCTAGGAACACATAATATGTGCAGCCCAGCTCCTCAGGGCAAACAACTAGGAGATGAAGCCCTAGCTAATAACAAAAAGCATGCCATTCACCAGTGGGCACCCAGAAAATTTTTTAGGAGTAGCAGCAACCACGTTAGGTAGCTCATAGGGCTCCTAGTCCCCCTTTTCTCACCACAAAATTCCCAGACTTCCTGGTACTATTTAGTTGTAAAATCTAAAAAGGTGATTTTCTAATCAAAGTTTTAAGCAAAAACAAACAAAAATCACATCCAGATTTTTATGATTGCCTACATGAAATAAAGCAGGGGCATTTCCACAATTCTAGGCCAAGAGCAGAGTGTGCCAGAGCAATATTGCAAGTATTATGACCTCCCTTTTAACCCAAAGTATAAAAAACAAAGACTATCATAAATGTCTCCACTACTTGAATCACTTCCTAAGCACCCAACTAAAAAACACACCACAGGATAATAGCCCTTAGATGGATTTTTTTTAAAGCAAATGGGCCACTTTTCTATACTGGAAAAAAAAAAAAAAAACTGACAGAAAAGAACATACTCTGGAGTAGATGCAAATGAAATGCCTTGCAGCACCTGAGGAGGAGAAATATGCTGAAGAGTATCATTCTATCCTGGCTAACATATCTCAGTATGAGGCAGAGCTCTAAAAAAACATATATATATATATATATATATATATATATATTTTTTTTTTTTTTTTTTTTTTTTTTTTTTTTGAGACAAGGTCTTACTATGTTACCCAGGCTGGCATCAAACTTACAACCCTCAGCCAGGCACAGTGATGCATGCCTGTAATCTCAACAACTCAGGAAGCTGAGGCAGGAGAATCAAGTTTGAGGACAGTCTTGGCAACTTAGCCAGAACCTGTCTCAAAATAAAAATTAAAAAAAAAACAAAAAACTGGGGAGGTGACTTGGTAAAGCACCCCTGGGTTCAGTCCCCAGTACTAAAAAAGAACTTGCAATTCCTTTTTTTCAGACTCCCAAGTAGCTGGGATGGCAGGCATGCATCACCACACCCAGCTCTAAAAACATTTTAAATTCTGTTTCTCAATGAGGAGGAGGACCATCAGAACCACCAGAGGCTTTTAAAACACACAGATGTGGAGCTGGGAATATAGATCAGTGGTAGAACACGCTTGCCTAGCTTGCACAAGGGCCTGGGTTCAATTCCTAGCACGCAAACACAAAACAACAACAAATAAAATATATGAGTATAACCCACTCCAGACACACTGAACCAGAATCTCCGTGGTTAGACCCAGATATCTGTATTTTTTTAAATTATTTTTTTAGTTGTCAATGGATCTTTATTTTTCACTTGTGGTGCTGAGAATCAAACCCAGTGCCTCACTTCTAGGCAAGTGCTCTACCACTGAGCTACAATCCCAGCCCTCTGTATTTGTTTTAAAATTCTCCACGTGATTTGAATGCACATACCTAAATAATTACTGCACAAAATGATGGAAACTATTCCCTGATCAAGAAACTACAAGTAGACCAAGAAAACTCAGGCCTCAGTTTTCTAAACTTCCATTTAGAAAAGTAAGCATCAATATCACTTATCCCAAGTTAAATCATTACTAATACTCCTACCCTGATTTCCTAGAAGGACTTTAAACTCAGAAAAGCAACCTAGATTCAAGAAGGCCCACCCAAATGCATGTTGGTGGTTACCACACAAAGGGAAGAAGAATAGGACCAAAGAGGGGAACAAAAGACTATTACTTTTTTCTTATTTTTTTCATTTTTTTAGAGGAAGGGAAAGATCTGAAGGGTTAACAGGTTAGTCCTAAGATACAAATATGTTTGTTATCTTGTTCTCTGGACTATCCTGTAATATTTTATCTTCAGAATTAGCCAGGAGCAGTGGAGCACTCCTGAAATCCCAGCAACTCAAGAGGCTAAGGCTAGACGATTGCAAATGTTGAGGTCAACCTGGGCAACTAAAAAGAGACTCTGTCTCAAAATAATGGGAATGTAGCCCAGCAGGAGAATGCTTACACAAAACCCTAGGTTTATTCCCTAGAACCATAAAAAGAAAAAAAAAATTTTTTTCAGAATTATTAAAACAAAATATCCATCACCACTCTTGTTCATTAACCCCATTTGAAACATCCTTGATTTTCATTAAACTATGGTGACAAATACCTTTTATTATCCCTCACTAGACTTCCACCAAAGCTCACTTAAAGAATACATAATCTGAAATTACTTCTCCTGGGACATTACAAAGGAACATAAGCACCAGAACAAAAGAAATGAATTACTGATAGTAAATTGACACCCTTAACACAGGTCTTGGGCATCTGAAAATGAAAAACTGCAGTTGTACATTCACTTCACAAAGAATACAGATGATGTTGTGTGGACCAATATCCACAACACTACCCTCTTAAGCCTCCCAAATCTAATACCCACTCCATAAGACATGGTGGGAGGAGACTCATTCATATATAAATCAAAACCAGTGAAGAATCAGAAAAACATTAAGATCAAGAACTTCCAAATTCTAAAAATGCTATTTCTCTCAGATAGCTGACAATACCCAAAACAAGCACCATAAGCATAAATGCAAACAGCAAAATATAGAAAATGTTCAGGAAACATAAATGCTCATCACAGTGTTTCATGATAAGCTACCATCAAGGCGACTTGCTCCCACTAATAAATGCCCTATCTGTACTTATCCATCAACTAGAAGCCTCCCAAAATCCCACATACAAAATACAGAGAAATCTTTATCTCCGTTCACACCATATCCGTTCCCTTCTCCCAATCTTTTCTCCAGCCAGCCCATCTTTACCTTTTGGCTTCTTCCAAATGACAAAGGTACTCATAAGCCACATTCTGACGTCTCCTTTCATCCATCTCCTCTGCAGTGAGTCTCTCATTATCCAGGACAGCTAAAACATGAAAGAAAGACTGTAAATACCAGGCTCTGTAATCTTCCTCAGTGATAAAAGAATGCCACAGCCATCAAATTCCTGCTAGTCACCTTGAAGGTCAGGTGGTTGTGTGGATAGCCAGGTGTACAATGACTTTCCCAAAAAGAGACCTATGGGAGTTGTATGCAATAGTGCACACCTGTAATCCCAGCTACTCAACGTGGCTAAGGTAGGAGGATCACAAGTTCAAGGACAGACTTGGAAATTGAGCCAGATCCTATCGCAAAATAGAAAAAGGATGGGGATATAGCTCAGTGCCCAAGGCCCCAGCATGACAAAAAAAAAAAAAATTACAGAAAGACGGGGAGAGACCTATAGAGTTTCAACTACATTCATCTTGCCCTTTATTAAAAATGTATAGTAATATGAAAAATACAGACTTGAGATTTGGGCCTGCTTTTGTTCTTGTGTCAGAGCTCATTCTAAATACAGATCTCATCATATTTCCCCCTTTTATTAATAACCAAAACCAGCAGTTATTGAGAACTAAGTGGTAGTAATTGTGCTAAGCATTTTATATGCATTCTCTCCCTGAAGCCCACAACAATCCTGTGATTATCAGCTTTTATTTTACAGATGAGGAAATTGAGGCCTGTGAGCTCAGCCCCAGGGCTAATTAAGAAGAGGGCCCTGGGTTCAAATGCAGACAGCCTTCTATACCCAAGGGCTTAACCTTGAAGCTACCTGCCTCCTACACTAGCATCCAGGGTATTAAATTCCTAACTCCTTGGGAAGGCAATCAAGGCCTTTCGAATCTGACCTCCACTACTTTTAAAAACTTTCCCCCTTTCCTCCTATCACTGTGCACTCCACACCACTCAGTTCCACACACCACACACACAGTGTACCTGTACTCTTCCACACTCTACCTGGAGTCTGGTCTCTTGCTCCATCTGTCAAACTTTTCTGTACAGTTTCATTCAAGAAAATTCAAATGTCACCACCTATGTTTACAATGACTACCCTAAACCCATTTTCACATTACTCTGTATGCCTGTTATCGAACCTCTTGTCTTTATTGCACCTTATTATCACTAGCTTGTACACCTATATCTGATTAAAAAATTCTTTGAAGGCAGGGCCTGGTCTTACTCATGCCCAATTTCACAAACGTGGCACCACATTATAACTGTGATAAATAAAATCACCCTTTAAAAAAATACCATTATTTCCATAATGTAAAATAAAAATAGAAAACTTCGAGACCCCAAAGTAGATTCCAGTAGCCAATGGTAACCACCCCACCTGCAGTTCATTGATATCCCAAGGATGACGACAGAAAATAAAGAAGTCAGAGGTTTTCGGTGGCTTTTTTTTTTTTTTCTTTAACTTTTGAAATCCTGACGAAGGAACTAAGCCCGAGAAAGCCGAAGTGACTTGCTCAGGACCGTACCGCACCTCGCCTAGCATGGAGCCAGGGAGGTCTGGACCCTGAGTCGGCTCGCAGGCACCACTCGGGGCATACCTTTCCAAGAAGCCAGAGCAGAGCCCCAGTCTCCGGTCCCGGGACACGCCCTGCCCCGTCCTCCTGCCACCTCACCCCAGGCCATCTCCCCCAATCTCGGCCGAGCTGGGTGGCGAAAGGGGCCGGGTGGGCTCCTTCTGCCGCAGTGGGTGCCGAAGCAGTGAGACCTCCGGGGTCCTACCCGCCTCCAAGCCGGAGGGGGCGCGGGCCCGGGCCTCCAGCCCTCCACCCAGCCAAGCCGGCTCTTCCGGGTCCGCGCAGCCGACAGCCGCCCTGCCCCACCCGCCCGGCCGAGCCACCGGGAAAACCTCGCCTAGGAGGCAGGGAGCCCATACCCAAAGCCCTCGCGCAGCAAAGCCCCGCACTCACAGCCATAGTGCGGCCGAGCCACGCCCAGTCCATCAACCTCGTCCGCGACGGACATGGCGGCCGAGCCCGGGTCTCTGCTGAACGAGCGGTGAGACCTTGAAGACACGGGCGGCAGCAGCTGCAGCTCCTGCCGCGTTCGCGGGCTGTAGGGAACCTGAGGCCTCGCCTGGCGCTGTCAGCCCCGCCCCGTAGGCCCCGCCCAGCCGCGCTGCCCGGAGCTGTCGGGGAGGCGTGGCCAGAGCCTCTAGGCCCCGCCCTATATATGCCCCCCCTCACCTCGACCCTCCCCCGCATCCCTCAGCACCCTCGGCTGCCGGAAGGAAGGAGGCGGGGCCCGCCCGCCCGGCCCGCGCTCCCGGGGGCTCTACCAGGAAGGCTGCCCAGGCCTGCAGCCCCGCCCTGCCGGCCACCGCCCCATCCCCAACTCAGACCGCGAAGTCAGAAGCTTGAAATCAAAACCTTGGGCCGCCTCCCTTGCCCTGCCAGCTAAGTTAACTTCCGCTACAACACGGATCATGGAAGGCGTCTTTACAGATGGCTCAGGGTGTGTTCTTGTTGGACACACTACCGTAAGGGATTCCAATCCCAGTCAGCACAGTCTGTCAATCTGGCCTCAGTCCGCCCAGATTTGCCAGTAGTATCCAGAGTAGAACTGTTCAGTCTCTCACGTATTTGAAACGTTGATTCTTAAAGCAGAAACATGTTTACCCAAACTTTCTTTTGATTCCCTGCCGTTTTTCTTTGCAAGTTCTTGTTTGAAGGGGGTCTTTGCCCTACTGGGGATGCCTCTTTCCCCTGCACCTTGTAAACCTCCCTGAAAGCATGGTAATGCCCTACACCTTGTAAACCTCCCTGAAAGCATGGTAATCGAAGGAAAAATTCTTTCTTTCTTCCTCTCTTCCTTCCTTTTTTAAAATATTTATTTATTTATTAGTTGTAGTTGGGCACAATATCTTTATTTTATTTTATTTTTATGTAGTGCTGAGGATCGAATCCAGGGCCTCACACGTGCTAGGTGAGCGCTCTACCGCTGAGCTACAACCCCAGCCCTTTCCTTCCTTCCTTCCTTCCTTCCTTCCTTCCTTCCTTCCTTCCTTCCTTCCTTCCTTCCTTTTCTTTCTTTGTTTTCTTTTCTTTCTTTTTTTTCTTTTCTTCCTCTTTCTTCCTGTCTTCCTCTCTTTCTTCTTCCCTTTCTTTCTTTCTCTTTCTCTCTTTCTCCCTTTCTTTCTCTCTTTCTTTCTTTCTTTCTCTCTCTCTTTCTTTCTTTCTTTCCTTAAATATCTATCACCAAACCAGACTGTCTGGAAGCCCCTCCGTATATTCAACTGTCTAATGAGCACTTTTATCTGTTTATCCTGCAGATACTTCAAATTCCATGTGTCAAACATTGATCAGCTTTTGCTATAGTCTCTATTAATGGAAGTACTCAATTCTCAGTGGGACACACCAGGCTCCTTGTCTCATGCCCTACATCTAACATGTGTTATTTCTGAAATGTCTAGCTTTTGTCTCTATGCCCCTGTGATTACACTGTTTAGATTATCATCATCTCTGTTTTCCCTTCTGCCAACTAGACCCTCAAAGTTATCACAGTGTTCTTTCCAAAGTGCAAATGCAATGTGTTCATCTTTCAAATCTATACTTTTCCTATTACTTCAGTCACAATATGGTCCAAGTTCCTTAACATACCAAATAAACCTCTTTACAAGCTGACCAGTCTTTTTGCTTTAGCCATTTTCAATTTGTTCATTCTTCCTTTAATTTTTTTGTTACAGTGCTGGGAATTCAACCCATGGCCTCACACATGCCAAGCAAGCACTCTACCACTAAGCTATACCCCAGCCCTCAAACTATGGAAGTGAAATACTTAAAATCCTATAAGAACAAAATATCCCCATAGAAATAAAGGGGCAAGGGTTTAATTTATTATAGCTACAAAATCAAAAGTTATTTATTTATTAAGGGTTTTTTTTGTTTTATTTTGGTGGGGATTTTGTTAGTTGTTTTGTTTGTTTTTTAAGATGGGTCTTGCTATATTACCCAGGCTGGCCTATCTCTTGGGCTCAAGCAAGCCTCCTGACTCAGCATCTGGAGCAGCTGGGACTATAAGCATGTGCCAGAGAGCCTGGAGCATTCTTCTTAGGCTTTTAGAGTAAGCTTACAAGTTTTATTATTCTAAGTCTAGCACTTTTTACTAATCACTGTTTAGAAACCAAATCATTTTTATCCCATTCATTAACTTAACCCAGCATCATCAAACATTTAAAATTATGTTTATAACCTAAACGTAATTTTAACCTAAACCTAAAAATATTAGATTTTCTTTTTAATTCCTTCACTTGTCTGACCTAGAAACTTTTCAAAGTTTTGTTCCTTACAAATCAAATATATTTACAAATATAATGAAACTAGGCAAGTGAGGTAGCACACACCTATAATCACAGCAACTTTGGAGGTTAAGGCAGGGGATTGCAAGCTCAAAGCCACCCTCAGCAATTTAGTAAGACCCTGTTTCAACATACAAAATAAAAGGAGTTAGAGATGTAGATCAGTGATAAAGACTGTCTCAATGTAAAAAATAAATAGAGTCAGAGATGAAGCTTAGTGGTAAAACACCACTGGGTTCAATCTCTAGTAGCTCCTCACCCCCACCCCTACCCACCCACCCCCCAAAAAAAAAAATATATATATATATATATAAAGATAATGACGTTAGCCGGACACATGCCTGTAATCCCACCCGCTTGGGAGGCTGAAGCAAGAGGATCACGAATTCAAAGCCAGCTTCAGCAATTTAGTGAGACCCTGTCTCTAAATAAAATATAAAAAGAGATGGGGATGTGGCTCAGTCGTTAAACGTACCCGAATTCAATCTACAATACAAAAAAAAAATATTATGAAATTTAGATGATCCACTTCCATGCATAAACTTGGTAAGGTTTCAACTCAAAAACCTAAGTCTGAAACTATGTATTTAAAATAGGTCTTGGGGCTGAAGTTGTGGCTCAGTGGCACAGTGCTTGCCTAGCATGTATGAGGCACTGGGTTCCATTCTCAGTGCCACATCTGAAGCTGCAGACTTTGAGAGCCATTATTATTTTTTCCTTTGGATGGGGGTCAGGTGGTGGATACTGGGGATTAAACCCAGGGGTGCTTTTTATTTTGAGATAGTCTGACTAAATTGGGAAGAGGCTGGCCTGTAAACTTGTGATCCTCCTGCCTCAACCTCCCCAGTCACTGGGATTACAGATGTGCTGTAATCCACCACACCCAGCCCAGAATCTTCTTTTCATTATGCCAGTTGTTTGGTTTTTTGTTTGTTTGGGGTACCAGGGATTGAATTCTGGGGCACTCGACCACTGAGCCACATCACTATCTCTATTTGGTATTTTATTAGAGACAAAGTCTTATTGAGTTCCTTAGCATTTCCCTAAATTTCTGAGGCTGGCTTTAAACTTGCAATCCTCCTGCCTCCTCCTCCTGAGCTGCTGGGATTACAGGCATGGGCCACCTCGCCCAGCCCCAGCTGTCATTTTAAGCTCCTCTTTATATTATGTTATGGACTTCAAAACTCATTGCATTTCCAGATGCCATAGTGCTCTAACTATTATAACTTGAGGTACTTCTTCAACTCAGATCAGGAAGATGAGGCAGGAGGATGGCAACTTCAAAGCCAGCCTCAGAAACTCAGTGAGACCCTAAGCAATTAGCAAAACGCTATCTCAAATAAAAAAATTTAAAAAGCAGGGGGTTGGTGGGGAGGCAGGGGCTAGGAATATGGCTCAGGGTTAAGTGCCCGTGGGTTCAATCCCTGGTACTAAAAACAAACAAACAAACAACCTCATTGCCTCCGCCTCTGACTACTGCCAGAAATTTGTGTGGGGTGGTGTTTGCCTCTTTGAATTTACCAGTTTTTTACAATGAGCTACAAGAAATACTGTTTTTTCAGTAAATATAAATATGAATAAAATTAATAAATATGAAATGAACTAGTAAAAAAATGGCAAAATAACGAGCTATATGGTCATTCTGGGAAATCAAATTTGTTCTTGATCTCAAGGAATTTACAAGCTGGTGGGAGTGGAGCAATATACAGAATAGATTGAGATAAGCACCATAATAGAGGTTTCCCTTGGCTTGGAATACCCTTTAGCCTCTTATCTGCATGGGAAACTCCTACACAACTTCCCATACTAGACTCAAATGTCACCTTGTCATCCAGACAAAATTAATCACTTCCTCATGTGTTTCCCAGTAGCATTTTAAAAACCATATGTCTTCAAATATAAGTCTCAAGTTTTTTTCACATTTAAATGCTTCTGAAATCAGGATAGGCCTTCTTGTAATCAATATTTTAAAAACCTAGAACTTAGAAAAATAGATAAAGAAGTAATATACAGTGGCTTGGGAGGTTAAGTCAGGAGGATCCCAAGTTCAAGGCTAGTCTCAGAAACTTAATGAGACCCTAAGACACTTAGCCTCAGAAACTTAATGAAACCCTAAGAAACGGTCTTAAAATAAAAAATAAAAAGGGCTAAGGATGTGGCTCAGTGGCTGAGTGCCCTTGGTTTCTATTCCCAGTACCAACATAGAAGAAGAAGAAAGAAGGAGAAGAAAGAAGAAGGAGGAGGAGGAGGAGGAGGAGAAAACCAATTGATATTGCTTGCAAATGTATGAACTTAGGGAACTTTCAGAGTTAGAATTGATATCAGATTCCCAGTTTAGGAGTAACCGAATTGAAATAGAATTAAGTTCTTCACAAAAACTTTGGGTGCTGGCTGGGGTTGTGGCTCAGCGGTAGAGTGCTCACCTAGCACGTGTAAGGCATTGGGTTTGATTCCCAGCACCACATAGAAATAAGTAAATAAAAATAAAGGTCCATCAACAACTAAAAAAATATTTTTAAAAAACCAATTTTGGGGCTGGTATTGTGGCTCAGCAGTAGAGCGCTCACCTAGCACGGCAGGACCCTGGTTCAATCCTCAGCACCACATAAAAAAATAAATAAATAAAGGCATTGTGTTGTGTCCATCTACACCAAAAAATAAATTAAAAATAAATAAATAAAACTCATAAAAGTTTAAAAAAAAAACCAATTTTGAGTGCAACTTCAAAGAAGAAGCTGATAAGTAATTCCTGTA